GCTGCCCTGTCCACGCTGCCCTGTCCACGCTGCCCTGTCCACGCTGCTGGGTCTACACTTCCCTGTCCATGCTCCCCTGTCCACACTGCCCTGTCTATGCTTCCCTGTCTATGCTTCCCTGTCCATGCTCCCCTGTCCACACTGCCCTGTCCACACTGCCCTGTCCACGCTGCCCTGTCCACGCTGCCCTCTCTATGCTTCCCTGTCCACGCTGCCCTGCCCACACTCAGGCTGGCCCTGGGGGAGCGCCCAGGACAGGGTCCGTCCTCAGCTGGGCTTGGCCTCCTGCATGCACATCTGGTGCCCCAGGGCTGCTCCCTACCCTCATGGCCATCTGCACCCCAAGAGCAGCTTCAAACAGCCATGTGCCTCTTGCTGACTCAGTTTGGTGACTCGGACTCTTGTTTTTCTGGGGAAACCTGCCCAGCCAGGGCACAGGAGCCCCCGTGTCCTGTGGACCGGCGGCACGTGACACGAGGCTGTGCGGAGTTCACAGACATTGTCCTGGGGCTGCCCCCACCCGGCCTCCAGGCTTTCCTGGCCCTGGGCAGCTCCAGCCAGGTGAGCACGGAGGCCATGGAGGGGGGAAGACCCAGCCCCTCTGCCTGTGCCAGCCCCACTGAGCCCAACCTCTCCCCACCCTGATCTCCTGCAGGCTGACAGCCAGCAAGAGGGCGGCCCGTGCCCAGCCAAGACAGCACCCGGCACCCACAGCAGCAGGTAGGACAGAGGATCCTTCACGAGCCTCCTGCGGCCTCGGGCACTGACCATGCTGCACAGCACACATGACGGCCGGAGGCCCAGGGGAGGTATGCCCGGGGCCTGTCCTGGGGGCCGGCGGCTGGAGTGGTCCCCATGGTGTTCCAGCAGCCTGCACCCAGCACCCAGGCAGTGTGCAGGAGGATGAGGGAGAGGCGGAGTCCCTGGAGGCCTCCCAGACTCGTCACGTTTTCCCACACCCGGGGCCAGGTGGTACCGGGGGCCATGACTGGTCCTGTTTACAGAGGGGGAAACTGAGGCACGGGGACGCAGAGTTCAGCAATTGCTCAACCAAATCAAGTGTGACAGCCCAGAGAGCTGGATGTCACACAGCAGGAGGCAAGGAGAAGCTCTCTTCACGCCCTCGGAGCACGAGGGGCCATCCCAGCCCCTGTGGGGACAGAGACACCAGGCAGGGTGCCCCAGCCGTCAGCCCTCGTGCTGGCCCGTGTCATGGAAGGTTTGCGTCCCTGCCTGCCCGGTGCTGTCCGGTCTCGGGGCAGAGCCTGTGTTGTCTGGGACCTCGTAGGGGCAGTGCCCAGACGGCCAGTGATGAGCTGCGGCATGGGAGGGCCAGAGCCGTCCCCAGATGCCCTTGTGTGACCAGGGCCGGGCCCCGGC